ATTAGAAACCTGGAAATAACCAAACTGTTTGGCAATAAAGAGAATGGTTAAGCAAAATAAAGTGTGTCGGCCTGATAGAATATTACATAGCTAGGAGTTCTGTGGCCCATAGATATTGCCAGCTAATTGACATTCTAGCTGTCTCAGGCCTCCCATGTGACTCCGTGTTTTCACTCCCACTTTATCCAGTTAGTTCAGGAAAGAACTGTCAGCTTGGTAAGGAGCCCCATGTAGGAATTATTAAACCAAAACATCAGTTTGTTGTTGTTGTTGTTTTGTGTTTTTAAAGTTTTGCCATAGGGTACATGTGTTTACCAGAGAGAGACAGTGAGAAGTGAAAAATCACCCCGGGGAGATGGCCACTCTGTGATCCCTTGTCCTCTGTTCTCCTCCTGGGATTTGGGCATGCATGCATGCACATGCACTGGCATGAATTTCAAGCCACCAGGTCCAGTATTTGAACTGCAGTTGGCCATGTGGCAGTCTAGCACCTTAACCACCATACCTGCTGGCCCCAAAGCTTCAGATTTTTTAACCATTCTCACCTGGAACCTAAAGCCGCACATAAACACCTTCGACTGGCTATTCTTTCCTTCTACTGCACCTGGAAAAGCATGTAGTCTCCTACTTTCACATCAACTCCAACCTGGCTTCTGCCCCTCTGGTTCCCTGAACCTGTTCTTGCTAAGATCATGAGTAAACTCCATGCAGGTTCCAGTAGACACTATGGTGTCCTTATCTTACTTGGCTGTACAGCAGCCTCTTTTAAAAATCTTAGTTTCTTCCATGGGCAAGAGAGGGAGTGAGCACTCCCCACAGCATCCTGCTGTCATGAACTGCTGCTAGCCTTTGGCCAGCTCTGGATCATGGGCAAGCTTGTACCTGGCATACTCAATGAGGTCTCTGGACTTAAACTAGGAATCTTCCACTGTGGAATTGACTAGGGGAGCATCACCAGACAGACAGAGAGACAGAAAGCGAGAAATCACCCCCCAGGGGGGATAGCCACACTCCAATCCCTTCTCCTCCATTCTCTCGGGATCTTGGGCACGCATGCACACGCACCCAGTGTGAGTTTAAGCCACCGGGTCCAGGACACGAACCGTGGTCGACTACTGGGAGCTCAGCGACATAGCCATTACGCTAACTGCTGGTCCCCCCAACAGTATTCTTAAAATTCTCTTTTCCATCACCCTCCATGCCCTCTCCATATTCTCTTCCTTCTCTCTGGCGATGCGTAAGCCTTCCTTGCTGGTTCCTTCTCTCCTGGGGCTGTGTAAGGCCCAGCTTGGGCTCCTCCTTTCTTTTTACTCTTCGTCTATAGATAATCTTACTGACTCTCATGACTTTATATGTTCGTGACTGCTTCATCTCTAGCCCACATTGCTCCCCTGAGTTCCAGGTCCATATACAAGGGGTCCAAAAGTTCACGGAAAATGAGTATTATGAGAAAACTGCATGGATTTCACAACTTTTTTTGCACTAAAATAAACTTGTACTTTGGTTTCATTTTTTTCCTAAAATTTTTGAAGCCATCTCATTCAACTTGACATATCCTCTTAATTTTTACACAAGTATATTGAACTAATACATCCAAAATTGAAATCCTTTTTTAAAGCTTCTGCAGTCCTTTTTCCTCCATTTTCCTCTTGGGAATTTGGGCATGCACACACATGCACTTGATGTGAGTTTCAAACCATCAGGTCCGGGACTCAAACTGCAGTCGGCCATGTGGGAGGGAAGTGCCTTTAATCACCATGCCTCCTCCTGGCTTCTGAAATTGAAATCATGAATCTTCTACAACGCCTGTCTCTCGCTCAGTATGTCCCATCTTAGTATGTCCCATCTTAGTCCCATTCATTCGCTCGACAGAATCCTTTGTATTCATATCCCTCACTTCCAAGCCTCATGTTGCCTCTAAAGAGTATCTTCAATCTATCCAGTTCTTTCCATTTTCACTGAACCATCCTTGTTCAGGCTTCTGTCATACCTTAATGATATCTTGATACTGTGGGGCCCACCAATTTTAGTCTAATAGAATGTTCTACATGAGGCTATAATTTAGTGTTCTTCCAGAATAATCTTTCTTCTAGAGCAAAGACTGTAGCTGTGTGGTTCACTGGTGTATTCAGTACTTTGTGAAGTACTTGGCATATATGAGGAACTTGATATGTATCTATGGAATAGGTGAAATGTTACAGTTATATCAAAACTATGTAAAAACTGGAAAAAATGTGGAAAAATTCTAACAGTTTGTGAAAATGACACATTAAAGAACATTCTTGGCTGGCACCATAGTTTAGGGTCAGTGGAGCCAGATACCACCCAATTCCAGCCCTAGTGGCTTAAAAATTACACCAGGTGCATGTGCGTGCATGCCCAAAGTCCCAATGGGATGAAATGACAGAGAAAGGATTAAGTCATGACCACTCCCCATTGGGGAGTACTTTCTCCTTGTCTCTGTTTCTGTGTCTCTCTGTCTTTCTCTGTTGAGTGCATGTGCCCTCTGGCAATTAATAAAACTTTTATATTCCTGTTATTATGTTTGAGCAATGAATTTAAGACATATATGTATACAAGATAATATGCGATTGTCTACTAAGACATGTGGTGCAAATATAAATGCTGGTTGCAGAAATCAGCATAAATAAAATTTCAGTGGCCAGCAGGTGGCATAGTGGTTAAGGCACTGGACTCCCATGTGGCTGACCATGGTTCAAGTCCTGAACCTGGTGGTTTGAAACTCATGCCGGGTGCATGTGAATGCATGCCCAAAATCCCAAAAGGAAAATGGCAGAGAAGGAATTGTGGCATGGCCATTCCCAAGGTGGGGGGATGATTTCTCATTTTCCCTCTCACTGTCTCTCTCTGTCTCTTTCTAATGAGGGTCTGCACCCTACGGCAAAAATCTTATTAAAAATATGATTTCCAATATTAGTTGAAGGTGAGCTAGTTGGAATGGTTTGTGGTTTGTTACTATGCTCAAGCTCCTTAGAGATGGTTGGACTTCAGTCAAGGTGAAGGTGGACTGAAGGAAGTTGCCTTCTTCCAGTTTCACTCTATGGCTCAAAATTTTCTAAAAATGGAAAGATGGGAGTGATACCTCTTCCCTGCCCCTCTCCTGTTCCTGGAATTAGAAAAGACTTAGCAAGCTTATTAGAGGACCACGAAGAGAGCAGTCTTAAGTGACAACACTGAACATCTGGGCAGGGATCTGAAATACCACGGATGATGGACACCTCTCAGATTGTCTAGACTATAGCTCTTGGTTAGTAGATGACACAGGTACCATTTTCTTGAAGCCCAGCTTCTCACCAGTGTTCCCTTCATGCACCTGATGCAAAAGGAGTTCACCTCTAGCATATTAATTCCTTTAATTTTCTTTCTGAACAGAAGACTTTGCTATCCAGTTGTGTAAATCATCTTGGAAAAAGTTAGTTTAGGGTACATTTCAAGATTTTCTTTCTGTGGCCATTGTACACACATGAATGTATGCACATGTATGTGCACACCCACAAACACATGCATATCACTTCCTCCCCTCAAATCTGATCATATCTTTGACTACAAATGAAACTGTAACCAACTTTAAAAGTGGGTTTGGGCCAGCAGGTGGTATGAAGGTTAAGGTGTTGGATTGCATGTGGCCTACTTATGGTATGATCCTGGACCTGGTAACGTGGAAATCATGCTGGGCACATACACATGTGCACCCAAGATCTTGAGAGGAGAATAGAGGGGAATCTGGAAATTGCACTGTGTCCATCCACCCCAGGGAGTGAATTCTCACTTTTTTGTGTCTTTTCTTCTCTCTGTCTCTCTCTCTTGCAAGTGCACACACCCTATAGCAAAAAAAAAAAACAAACAGAAAACAAAAGCCGTCAGTTTTACAGGCTACTTTCTTGAACTATTATCGAATTACATTAATACTAAAAAGTCTAACGAGGTGGCAAGTGTGTTTTAACCCCAGAGTGATCAAGGCACACCGTCTTAAATAAACTCTGGATCAATGAGAAACAAATGAAAAAAAAAAATCATGTGTTTAGATGGGGATACTTAATATCATAAAGATATACATGTTTCTGAAATTGAGACATATATTTAATAAGATTCCAGTTGGACTAACAGCCCCTCACCTCCTTTGGATAAAATTATCTTAAAGTTCATATGGATGAATTATGTCTATGAAATGCTAAGAAGATAAAAAAAATAAAGATAAATAAGGAGAGATTTGCCTTATCAGATGCTAACTATATTTAAAATCAAAGTAGTAAAAAACTTGATGACATTGGAATAGAAGTAGATCAATAGAGTATTGGAACAGAGCACAGTTCAGAAATAGATTCTGGATATATGGTAATTTAATATGTGACAGTAGTTTTTAAGTTCAGTGGAAAAAGTAGAAGTCTTTTTTTGTTTTTGTTTTTATAAATGATTATGATATAGCTGACTAACCATCTGGATAAAAATAAAGTTGGGCCCTTATCTCATACTATATATGAAAATAAATTCCAGATGGATTAAAGATATAAGCTTTAAAAATAAAACAGTAAAGACAGTGGTGCAATTTTACATTTGTCGATAAGCTAGTCTGGAAAGCACTTCATAGCTCAGAAAGAAACCCTGTATTTGATTATATAAAAACACACTGTGTAAGGGTATAAGACACCAAACAAAAGTTATAAGACGAACAATAGATTAGGAGAAAATATGTGTCAGAAATATGACAGATAAGGATTAATATCTGCACTATGCAGAGAGCTCTTAAAATTTGATAAGAAAAATATACACACGAAGCGAAAAAATGGTCAAAGAATAGGAATATGTGAATCACAAAGAGCAAACCAAATAGCCAATAAAATATTTATTCCTTCATATAAGCTCTTCTGAGGAATTCTCCTTCTTTTGCAGGTCAAAGGGTGAGTTCACCTAAGGCTCTAGGATGGAAAGAGGTGATGCAAAAACAATGATTCATTTCCCGTTTCTTCTTCCCCATGCAGACTATAGTGACTGTGGTGGGAAGCTTCTTTCCAAGACACTCAGAGTGTGTGGTGAAGACTATGGATGGCAGCCGGAAGCTTTGCCAGACTGAAAGTCAGGCAAACCAGACCTGCACCTGTAGCATCCCAACCAGAGCAATCTACAGAGGTATGTGGACTCTTCTGGGGTCAAGAAAACAAGAGAACCTCCTGAATTCAGATAACCCAAGGAAGCAAGTTGGGTCACAGAGAATATGAAAAGTTTCCTCACTCTGCCCCTACCTTCTGGTTCTTAAGCGTCCCCTGGGTTCTGCTCACCTGCACTCTCTCTTACTCCTTAATCCAAAGACCTCACTATCAGATGGGTCTGGAGAATGACAGAGGAGGGTAAGTTGGATAGGACAGTATAGTAAAACTAGACATTATTGGGTTAACTTTACCCAGATGGTTTGGATAACTTAAGAGATCTGCAAAGCAGGGAGTGCCCTAGGTGAGGTGAGAAAATATAACAGCTAATGTCTCTCAGCTTAAGTGTATTGCATCCACTCACTCATGAAGTAGTTCTTGAACATCTGTATGTGAGGCACTATGCTCAGTGCTAGGATTGCAGTGACAGTAAAAGACTGAGCTGGTCCTGGCACACAGTGTTTATCGCCTGTGAAGGGCAGCTCATTTACATCACAATGCAGGATGTAAATGTAGAGAACATAGAATACCATGGGAAGCACATAGAAGGAGTATCTAACTGGGCTTAGGAGTGGGGGAGGAGGCAAGGAAAACTTCCTGGAGGAAGTGGTGTCTAAACAAAGACTGCAGTAGTAGAGTCAAGTCAAAGAGGTGAGGAAGATTATTCCAGGTAAAGACCAACTTATATGATAGCTGAGAGAAAAAAAAAAAAAAAAGCTTTATTTGAACCAAAAGAGATTCCATATGGCTAAGGCAATGAGATAGGGGTAGGTCAAAAGCAGAGTAATAGAAGATGGGTAGAAAGAGGGCAGCTGGGAGACCATCAAAGACCTTAGGGGCTATGGCCTCTATCCCTAGAGCTGTGATGAGAACTGAATGGTTTAAACTGGAGGCTGGCCCAATCAGATTAAAATGACAGAAAAGTGCAGTTGTACATTGTTTATCGCTCCTACTAGAGTGTAAGCACCACAGGGACAGAGACTTTGGGAAGACATTATCACTGTTGTACTTAAAATAGTGTCTGGCATAAAAGAGCCATTTACAATCAATGAATGAATGAACAAATGGCCACAGGTTAAGAATAAACTGGAGGAGGGAAAGCCCGAAAGGCTGAGTTATGAAAGATCAGATAGCCGAAAAGCTATTGCAGTGATCCAGGTGGGAGTGAACGTGAGAGCTGGAGTAGAGGCGGTTGGCAAAGGATAGTACTGAATGAATTCAAGAGATGGTTAGGAGGTACAGTGAACCTCATGAGTTCCTTCAGATGAGAAAGACTGGAAGTAGTTAAGTTGATGTACGCCTTCTAGAAGGAGTGACCATAATGATGCTGAGTGAGTTTTGTAGCAAGAGCTAGAGTTACCCAGTGTCTTAGTCCATTCTTGGTTACTGTAGCAAAATATCTTAAGCTGAGTGATTTATAAATGATAGAAATCTACTGTTTACACATCCGAAGCCTGAAGAGTCAAGAACAAAGCACCAGCAGAGTTGGTATCTAGCAAGGGATCACTCTCTGCTTCTCAGATGGCACCTCATTGCTGTGTCCTCACAGCAGAAGGGACGAGGGGACTCCCTCAAGCCTCTTTTATGAGAGTACTAAGAGAATTCATGAAGGTTGAACCTTCATAACTTACTTACTTCCCAAAGGCTCCACCTCTTAATACTACCACACTGGGTATTAGGTTCCAATATATGAATTTTAGAAAGACTCCAGCATTCAGAACCATAGCACCCAATTGATCCTAAACTCATCAAAAGGCAATTAAATGCCTCGAGCCAGAGACCTGAGCTTTAAAATGCCTCTTAGTCACTGGGCTCATGGTGGCTATTTGGGTCTGAATTGCTTGGAAAATTACCTCAATTTTTAACTTTATTTTGTCCACACTCTACAGCTTTGTGATGCACTTCTGGCTAATTTTGGTCATCAAAATGCAGATCTTGCTCCCCTATAAAATATGTTTCTGAAGCATTTGAGATTGGTAGCTGTTTGCTTTTAGAGCCTCCATCAATCGTATCCAACCTTTCATCTGCCCTTTTCCGAATGGCTTGCACATTCTGAGTAGGCAAATAAATTCACTTCCTGCCTCATTATATTCAGCCAGCCGTGGCCATTGCCACACCTTTACCTATGGCCTTCTTTAAGCCTAGAACAGCTCCACTTCTCACCAAATCCCATTTCTTGCCTGTGTTGAAACATTAGGGGAAGCCACCTCTTTCATATAGCCCTGCCAGATTCTGCTCTGACCATCCTGCCAATGCCAAACACCCTCTTGATCCTCCATGGGAATCCCTATTCTGGTACCCAGGGACCACGTGGAACTCAAACCATTCATGTGTTTCCTCGACTGAGCTGTATGCCATCGTGGATTTTTTTTCACCTAAGTTATTTTACCCCTTCCAGAGTAACCATAAATATTTCCAGAGCAGAGATCATGAATATTCATTTTCTGGTGATATTTTGAAATAGTGTTTTATGCACAGTTGATGCTTGGAAATGTATGACTTTTGCAGTCTTCGTTGCTGGACACTTGCAGATTTCACTGGGAGTTCCTCAGTGCTTGCTGTCCATATGTTCATTCTACGAACATTTATCAAGTGTCTGTTCACATGCTCTTGCTGAGAGGTCATGTCAGTCCTGCAAACCTCCTCGTCTTCAGAACACAGGATTATCATTTTACATGTACCCACTTTACGTGAGCAGAATTTTAGTTGGAACTCTGGTTATCAGAGTGAATTCCACTGTTGTAGAAAAACACTTTAAAATAAGAGTTTTAAGACTTTGGGAACCACACGCTGATAAAATTTCAGTAAGAAAATGAAGAGTGTCAGCAGTTTCAGGTCGGCTGCTCAATTTTGTCAAGATTTTAATTAAAACATGTCATTTACTATCCCTGTTAATTTCTAAAAGGAAGAAAATACAAATAGCTGTTTTTTCTTTAGAGAGAGATTTTTGCTATAGGGCATATGTGCTTGCCAGAGAGACAGAGCAAGACAAAAAGACAGAAAGTGAGAAATCACCCCCTAGGGCGGATGGCCAAGTCTCAAATCCCTTCTTCTCCATTCTCCTCTTGGGATCTTTGGGACACACGCACATGCACCTGGCATGAGTTTAAGTCACTGGATCTGGGACTTGAACCATTGTCAGCTATGTTGGAGTCCAGCAATGTAACCACTACACCATCTACTGGTTCCACTAATACCTTCTTATTAGTGCTGGTCCCTAGAAGAAAGAAAGGTGCTACTCTGGGCCATGGCACCCAAATCCGGTTTTTTATCATTGATACTTAAGGAATATTGTAACCCAGAGTTGATTAAACCCACCCCAGACCCACTGAATATCTGGGAACGTGGCCCTAAAATCTGTACTTCCATAAATCCAGTGATTCTGACAGATGACTGTGTCTGGTCATCACTGTCTTGGACAGAGTGTGTATGTTTAAGGAGATAGAGGAAATATTACATTTCTCTAATGCTGACTTAGCACAGTTTTTTATCCTCCTGGTTTTATTCTTTTGGGGTTTTCTAACCAATGGATAGGTTTTCAAAAGCAAATAAGGAAACCTGCATCATAGATTTGGCGAGAGGTGACTCCAAGAAAACGGTGGCTCTCAGCCCGTGGGAACCACACGTTAGGGTTTGTTAGGTAGATGTTTCTAGTGTGGATCTTCTGAAGGAGCAGGATTTCTTAGCTAGCGTTGTGGTTTTCATGTTCTAGGCACTTCTTTCTCAGTGACTTGTTTTCTTCTTAGGCCTTAGCCAATTACAAGCTGAGGTAGTGATCCCAGGGAGAGGATGAGATGCAAATGGGCTGTAAAATGGCTTTTTCCTAGTGATTATCCATGGGAGGCTTGGAACTAGAGTTGGGTTCAGTCTGTTTGGAGGCTTGTGCTATGTACTTTGGCCCATGGGAAGGAACCACATACTGATTGAAATGCTAGCGAACAGCTGGCATACCCCCATCCTCCATGCAAAGGAGGCAAAAAAAAAAATTTTTTTTTTTTCATTTACAGCTATGCTTGACTATAGCAGGAATCCACCATAAATGACTTTTTTCCCCTCCCTTCCCTCCAGATGTTTTAGTTGTCAACGTGACGTTCTCCTTCAGTTCTTGGAATTTATCAGACAGATACAACTTTACCAACTGCACATCATTAAGAGAGTAAGATTTTATTTGAAATTTAAATATTCTCTTACTGGTTTTAATTTATTTTTTTCGTTTTGCTCCTCGATATCCTAAAGAACTCTTTTGTGGAATTAAACTTTCCAAAGTGCCTTTTGGAGCGTGGCCTAACGGGAGATAGGAGAGCCACTAAGCTAATAAGCTCAGCTCACTCATTCAAGCCCTAACAAGTAAGCCGGAGCAGCCAAGGAGAGAACAGCTGTGCTTAAATGTTAGTAGCAGCAGGGAAATATATTGTCCCGGGCCCAAAAGGTGGCCTTGAAGTAAGTACAGAAGAAAAGGGCTGTTAGGTTCTCCTGGAATCTCTATGGCTTCCAGAATTTGGACACAAGGACAAGGCCTAAACTGATGGTCAGAGAAAGTCATACTCAAGAAAGACAAGATCAAGTCTCTTTCACCAAAAGAACATCTTACAATACTTCGATTCCCTTTTCACCATTATTGACCCCCTTGAACCACATGCCCGCCTGAGCTAGGGCCACCTCACACTCTTTGAAGCTAAAGCAGAGAGAAGACAAAGGAAATAGGTCCCCAGATTCCTGACTCTCCAGTTGAATGTCGGGGTAGGGGTCCCCATGGAAACAATGGGAAACTGTACAAGGGAACTTCAAAGAATTCCTGGAAAAATGGAATTACATTACAGGTTTATTTTGGTGCAAAAACAGTTTGAAATCCATGCATAGGTGTGGTTTTTTTTTTTTTTTCATAATATGCATTTTCCAGAAACTTTTTGAAGAGTGATTCTGTAGATCTCGCCATGGTATGATTGGTCAACTTTAGGAGTCCTACATGCGAGTTTCCAGGCCTTGGCTAGCCTGGAAACCATTGTTTCTATGGGGAAAATGAACTCGAACTGGAAACTGAGTCAGGATTGTCCAACTATCGGAACAGGGCCCCAAGAACTCATCTTTACTTTGAAAGCTCTTTGAAGGGAATGACACAAGGCCTGATTCAGGTATTTCTAGAAAACAGAATGAATTCCGGGAGGAAAATGTCAAATGGTATAAAAAGCCTCGGAAATCCATGAAAATAGGGCAAAAGGGGGATAATGAAATAGAATTTTATAGCTCAAAGAGGTTAAAGATAATGCAGCTTCTCTAACCCTGCCGTTTAGAGGCCAGATGGAAGTGACTTACTCCAGGTCCCATGACTGGGTTATTAAGAACCAGATCCGAGACCCAGATGCCCCCCTTTCCCCTGCGCAGAGGGTGAGTGCCCTTTCAGTAGGTAACTGCTTCCTGTTAGGAAAGCACTTAGTACAATAATCTCAAAGAGGGGGAGAATAGACATGCACATTGCAAACCCACTTCTAGCTAACTTGCGTGGCCAGGGTAACAAGACACAAGTCTGTGTTTTCTCCTCCCATAGAAACGGCAGTTTCTGTAGATCATAATCTCAGATTGCTTCAGCATTTCTTAGAAATCTAATATATAAAATACGAACTGGGTCCCCTCACCCTGCAGAGTGTCCCTCATTGTTCCCTGCTGAGCCTCCCTCTGGCCTCCCGTGGCCGCATTTCCAGACCAAATTTCCTCTTTCATCATTCCTTCTCTAACTCTGATTATTCTAATAAGTGCTTTTTTAAGACCTCTACTGCTATTCATGCATGGCAGGTTGGTTAGCAGGCACAGTGCTTCCTTAGCTGAATTATAAAACAAACACTGGCACCCCATTTCCTCCACTTGCCAGGTAACATTTTTTGTCTCACATCTTCCAGGCCATTGGCAGTGTGGTTGCTCAAGTGAGTGAGGGCTTGCTGTCTGGCAACTGGAGGTGAGGAGAAAGAGAGATCAGTCTCCAGGGGGACTTATTTGAGTTGAAATGAATAGCAGAACTGGATTTTGAAACAGATTCGATGTGTTCCTGTTATACGTGGACCACCAGGTGATCCCAGCTTCAGGTTTCCATGGCAACACCCTTGCAGGTACAATCATGGTCCATCCAGCTTTGAGGGTGTCCCAGAGCAGGGCACAAAGTCAATGCTCAATGCTTGGCCTCAGAGTACTGTCCTCTGTCTCCGTAGTTCATCTGTCTATCCATAGATTATTTTTTCCTTCTTTTAAATGCTTGTGCACCACATCACCATGGACATTTTCATGAAAATGTTGGAATTAAGTTGGTTTTCCATGTTGCCAGATGCCCAGTGTGTCTTGGAACTGGCTGTGCTTGGTGTAAAAGTGGGAGAAAGTGTATCCACCCCTTCACAGCTTGTGACCCTTCTGATTATGAGAGAAACCAGGTAGAGTGACATTTTTGGTATTATAAGATTTAACCAAAAATAAATGTTTCGTGATTACCCAGTCCCACTCAGTCTTTTGTGTTTGTTTCACACTTTGAGCTTTCCACCCATTTGGATGTTGAAGGAATATTCTTCATTTCAGGAGTTCTGTCATGTTGCTGTTGAGAAATCACCCAAGATACCAGGTGGAGGAAGGTTCAAGGAGATTAAGAATAACAGAACCAAACAACAGGTCAGACCCTACTTTTGTGTTGACAATGGGAAAATTCGCCTATTAATGACAATGATAACAACTGCTACTATTCTGGATTCCTTTAAATAATTCTTTTTTTCCCTTATGATAGGATGAAGGAGGGAGGAGAACAAGGGAAAGAAAAATAAGTTTAATTGACACAAAAGTGAAAAGTTATTTGCTGATGATAATGTATATGTAATGTCTTTGTCTTGACTAAAATGCACTGTATTCATGCTGGGAAAAGCCATGTTGTACACTGTAAAGACATATAGTCATTAAATGTAGATAATAATAATAATAAATAATAAAATTCCCTATTTTATTGGGCTGTCGGGAAAGTCATGACATATTTTTGCATAGAGAAACATAGAAAAATATGCCATGACTTTCCCAATGATCTAATTTGGTCTACCAAAATTTCCTTTTTTTTTTTAACCTTGGTTTTTAACCAAGTTTTCCTTAACTGACTCAATACATCAAAGCCTGCACATTCACATAAAAGAAATTAAAACTCTGTAATTATGAAAAATGATGTTGTTCTGATAGGAGTAAAATTTTAAAGGTGACTTTGTGGCTCGCTCGGGAAGAGTTAGAAGTATAGCACACAGCCAAAGGGTATTTCAATTTGAAGCACATATTAAGATTGCATTTCTGGGGTTATGTGTGTGGATGGGGTCTATGCAAAGTATGCAGACTAGCCTCAATGTAATTGTTTTTCTTTACTTTGTAGAAATAATCTAACCTGTAGCTAATGGTGCGAAAGTGAAGAGTTGCTATAGAATGTGCATTTTTCTACCCTTCTTAGAAAGGGTTGTATTTCCATTAAGTTTCCTTGGAAATTTCTTTTTATTTTCTTTATAATCAATTGCCAAGCTCAATATGTCTGTCATGTTTGAAAAGAAGGGACGTGACAGTGTAAACATTGCCAGGCAGAACATAAGTGGCTGTGCTTGAAGTTCAGCATAGTGCTGGCTTCACCCAATCGGCAAAAATTCACTGAGCATCTGAATGTGGTAAAAAACAAACAAGAAGAGGACAAGTTCCTGCTCTCATTAACCTTGGGGTCTAGTGGGAGCAGTCAAATTACAAACAACAGCATTAAAAAAAAAAAGGCTGTTTTCTATTTCATGACTAATCTGTGGCTTTAACTTCTCCATTTGCTGCTATTTAAGGTTAAGTGCCAATATAAATAAGTAGCACATTTTTAATCATTACGGAAAAGTTGATGGTAACTTTAGGTGAATTAAGTAACAGGCAGAGAGAATATGAGTCAAAGTGGATTACATTAATTAAAGGCATTAGAAAAGCTTGATGTGCCAATATCTCCAAACTTTAAAAACCTTTGAGGTTTTATTAAGTGATGGATTACTTTTCTCTTCCCATTGGTTTGTAAAACTGAGATACAGTGACAGGGACATGGGTCAAGGAAACACAATTTTTTTAAAACTTTATTGCAGTTTCAGAGATTTTTTTCAGTTTTGGCAAAATATATGTAACATAAAATTTAAATTTACCATCTTTACTGTTTTTAAGTGTACAGTTCTGTGTGTTAGTACGTTCATATTGTTATACAGACAATCTCTGGAACACTTTTCATCTTGTAAAACTAAAACTAAAACTCTGTACTCATTTAATAACAACAACTTATCGTTCTTTCCCCCAAGTCCCTGGCAATCATCAATCTATTTTCATTCTCTATGAATTTAACTACTCTAAGTACCTCATATAAGTAGAATCATACAGTATCTGTCTTTTCATGACTGACTTATTTCCATCAGTGTACTGTCTTCAAGGTTCATCCATGTGGGCAGCATGGATCAAAATTTCCTCCCTTTTTAAAATTAAATAATATCCCACTGTATGTATACACCATATTTTGTCTACCCATTCATCCATGGAAGTGCACTTGGGTTGCTTCCACATTTTAGCTATTGTGAGTCATGCTGCTATAAACATGGGCGTACTACTGTCTTCAAACCCTGATTTAAATTTTTTGGAATCTATCCCCAGAGCAGAATTGCTAGATTGGAAGGCAACTCTATTTTATTTTATTTTATTTTATTTTATTTTTAAAATTTTCTTTGGAGAAACGTCTGTTCAAGTTCTTTACCCATTTTTTAAATCAGGTTGTTTTGTTGTCATTGAGTTGAAATAGTTCTTTATATATTCTGAATATCAACCACTGATTGAATAAATATTTTGCATATGTTTTCCTCCATTCCATAGGTTGCCACTTCACTCTGTTGATTGTGTCCTTGATGTACCAAAGTTTAATTTTGATGAAATCTAGTTATCCATTTTTTTCCTTATTGCATGTGTTTTTGGTGTGAGAGCCAAGAAATTATTGCCAAATCCAATGTCATAAAGCTTTTCAAACTCTAGCTTTTCTTCTAAGTGTATAGTTTTAACCCTTATGTTTAGATCTTTCATCTATTTTGAGTTCATTTTTGTATTGATATAAGGTGAAGGTTCAATTTCAATCTTTTGCTTGTGAATATCTAGTTTTCCCAGCATCATTTGTTGAAAAGGATGTGTTTTCTCCATTGAATGGTCTTGGCATTCTTGTTAAGAATCATTTAATGAAATAACTGAGGGTTATTTGTGAGCGTTTTTTTCTGTTGCAAAGGTTCATATGTTTGTCTGTATGTCAGCAGTCAGCAGCACACTGTTTGATTACTTTAGCTTCATAGTAAATTTTCATATCTGGAGGTGTGAGTCCTTTGAGTGAGAACTTTGCTCTCCTTTTTCAAGACTGCTTTGGAAAAAATTAAGCTTTTAACTTTGAGATAACTATAGATTGATATGTAGTTGTAAGAAAATAATCCTTTTTTTTTACACAATTTCTTCCAATAGTAACATCTTGTAAAGCTGTAGCAGAATGTCACAACCAGAATATTGCCATTGACAACAGTCAAGATAGAGAATAGCTACATCATCCCAAGGCTCCAGAGTTGCCCTTTGATAGCCACACTAATTTTCTCCTCCCTCCTACTCCTCATCTCTGATACTTGGCAACCATTAATCTGGTCTCTAGTTCTGTAATTTTGTCATTTCAATAATTTTACATAAATGGAACCATCTAGATGTACTCCTTGGGGACCTAGATTTTCTAAACTCAACGTAATTCTCTAGAAATTCATCCAAGTTTTTTATGTATTAATAATTTCTTTTTATTGCTAAGTACTGATCCCAACCAGTAACTTTTTAAACTTCATTCATTTTAAGGAAAGTAATAATAATAAAGTCATTGAATCTTGGTTTCCTGTCTTCCTGCACCCTTTGAATTCTGACATTGTGTGGTTAAAAGGACTGAAGTTGGGAAGAGGCTGAAAATGAAAGCTCATATCTGTCTTCAGTGCTTCTCTGTGGATTACTCCTCTAAGTTTGGAGAAGACATTTTGTTGATACTAAAATGTTTTCTTTAAATATGTGACTCAGAACATTATCTCAATTTTGGTTGATAGAGAATAGAGTGTTACTTGTCACAGAAGGGGTTTCTCATACTCTGTGAAAACACTGCTGTCTTTCATTATCATGTGGAATGTGTAACATTCTGGTTTCCACTTTGGGTCCTCATGTTGGCCTTGAACAAAGCACCCAACCTCTTTGCAATTCTTTGCCCAGCAAAGAAGTCATCAGAGTTTTCCTTTAATGTGTCTTCTGATATTACATATGAACCAAGTACTTCCTATGTGGCAGGCACTAGAAATGGTGCAGGCTTAGGTCTAGGCTTTGTAATCCTGAGCTAAGATTGCTTCTTCCCTGCAGGTGTTTATTGAGTACCTATCAGTTTTCATTATTCTGAGCACCATAGAGACCATGAGGAGATCAGAAATGAATCAGGCATATCTTTAGCAATCAATCTCAACAATCTTATCCATGAGTTACAAAAGTAATAATACGAGATTACAAATAAATAAATAAATAAATAAAAGTTAAGTTAACTTAACTAAAAGAGCCAGAAAGTATACAAACCCAGAGAGCCTCATTGTGCCCCAGGCCTTGCCTTCATTCTTCCTGTTTATTTAAGCCCACTGCCTGGCAGTTAAAAACACTTAATCAGTGTGCTTGGTTAAGTCTCTGATTGACAGCTGGATTGATTGATGGAGATGGCATTTCAGCCCACCTTTGAGGGATAAGAAGTATTTAGACACATGAAGATGGAGGAGCGGGTATTCTAAAGAGAACTAGCATAAGTAAAAGTGTGATGTGGGTCCAGAAAATTCCTGGGTTAGAATTCAATTTGGCTGGAGCAGAGGGGGCAGGAAATTGTAGCACACAAGATTGAAATGACTCTGGAACCTGCGTGTGAAGAACCTTACATGGAATTTTGACTTTATTCTTCCAAAACAATGGACCGCTATTTAAGACTTTTTGTTTTTAATGTGTGAATTTGCTCATCCCTAATTGTGGTACTTATGAGATAGGGTTTCTGCTTAAATCTCAGCTGGTCTTTCATTGTTTTATGACCCTGAGACCCACTTCTATATCCTAATCCAAAAACATGCCGTCATTTACCAGGCGTGCTACATTAAGGAAAATCTTGACCAAATAGGAAAAGGAACTAAAAAAAATCTATACTTGACCTCACATAGGGAGGTTTTTTTGTTTTGTTTTGTTTTTTTGAGAGGTTTTTGCTATTGGGCATGTGCGCTCGCCAGACAGACAGAGAGAGACAGACAGAAAGCGAGAAGTCACCTCCCAGGGGGGATGGTCACATTGCAATCCCTTCTCCTCCATTCTCCTCTCAGGATCTTGGGCACGCACGCACACACACCTGGCGTGAGTTTTAAGCCACCGGGTCCGGGATGCGAACTGTGGTCGACTATGTGGGAGTCCAGTGACAGCCATTACACTAACTGCTGGTTCCCAGGAGTTTTTTCAGCTGCAAGGGTCTCACTTTCCCTCTCTTCTCTCTCTCTCCACCCATTTATTAGATAAAATTAAATCAGGAACCGCGGGCACTATCATCCTGCCCCAGTCACTTTTCCGTCTTT